TTTCTTAGGCATTTTGATTGGAACCTTTGTATGTTCGAAAATAAAAATAAATAATCACGAAAATTTTATTTAATATTTTAAATATATTTGAATTTAGTATATTATATTATTTTTTTTGCTAATAAATTTATTATTAGGGCTCCATGGTTCGTCGACAACAGCGAAACCACAAATAGGCTGAAACGTTGCAAACCACTAGATTTAGTATATAGATTGAAGTAATTATTAATGTTCAAAACATCATAATGATAACTATCCACCGGGAAAGATAAATTTACAATTCACACAGTTTGCCAACAAAATTATACGACATAAAAAAAATTATTATTATTTAATATTAATAACAATAAATAATTATTATTGTATTTGTTTTCGTTGACATATTCATTATAAAACTTAATAATAAGAAATATTGTATAATAAAATTAGTTTGTTAATTGTTATTATATAATATTAATAACAATAAATTAATTTTAATTTAGAATATTTTTTAATTTTAAGGTTTATAATGATTAAGTCAACGAAAACAAATACAAGTTTTTATGTTATATTATATTATTTACCCAATAACTTATTATTATTAATATAGTAATAATTATAAGTGCGTTTCTTAAAAATATTTTTGTTGAGTATCCGTCGCCGACTTGACCGTCGCCGAGTTGGCTGGTGTCCAATTGAACGTCGCCCACTTGTCAGTTGCCGAGTTGTCGTGTACCCATTTTTTCGGCCATGGAACGCATTGTCGTATTTTAGATTAGTTTATGTATGAAAAAATATTTCACTATAAAAGTATTTACGAGTAAAACTCCGAAAATTCTGGAACAGATTATGCTCGTTATGTGAGGTTCCACTGTATTTACAATTCACTTATTAAGGATTTATATTAATTTTATATGAATTATTTGGTTTAAAAAATAAATAAAATAATTAATTTTTTTTTTTTCATCAACTCCAATTTCATTAGTTCTTTAATATATTATCCAACTTGAAAAAATAGTATCAATACTTTCCATGTATATTTGTATTCAATCATTCAAATAAGGAAAATGAAACAATCAATGCAGAAGAAATCGTTCTTTTGTATTGATTGTTTAATTTTTTAACCGCTATAGTTGGCCGGTCCCAGTAGTTAAGCTAAGTTACAGATTTTTCTCGGTAAATATAGAATATTTAGAAAAGTAAATACAAAAAAATAGTTGTATGCATATTTTAAGAAAAGCCAAACCAAACTGGCTTTATATGTTTCAGATAGTTTAATATTTTATCAACGAGTATTTTAGAGCTTAAAAATGGTTCCCGTGAGAAATTAAAAAATTCTTAGCAGGAAGTACGTTACCGACCATTGATATATACATTTATTACAATTACTATTATTACAATTTTACTTATTCCAATTATTCTACAAGAAAGTTTTTTTTTTATTTTGAACATACGTCATTGAAAACACACTTTAATTTCAGTATTGTATATGTAATTATAAAGTGTAGCAATAAGACCAATAGATGAAGAAAAAGTCTTACGCTCCATTAGTTATATGCGTATAGTGTATAATCTGTAGTAGTAAAAAATGATTAAAATATAGGGAAAAGGGATTTATATAATCGGTGTTTAGTTATCCAGCGTGCAGCGGTGCAAAAGCTTCTGAACATGAAGCCTATATGAATTTCAAGGATAACGTGATTGCTATTATCGGACCTGCTTGCATGTTTTCATTGGAACCTATTGCGAGTCTTGCCGGATTTTGGAATATTCCAATAATCACTGGAATGGGAGATCAAGTGAGTTTAATTTAATGTAATTATTTTGTTGTTTTCGAAATTATAATATCAAATGAATTCACCGAAAATATGTTCGAGTTTGGATCTTTATATTAAAAACTATAGTGGGTAAACTTCAATACATTTTTTCTAATGATTGAGCTCGTATTGATTTAAATACATTTCATCTAATATTTATAAATATTTAAATACGAGATGGAAATAGTACCATAACTTAGAAAATAGACAATTTGTTAAATTCTCACGAGCTCTTAATAAAGTTCACGTTATACGTATTCAAATTAATGTACACTCTTTTCGTTTTACAAAAATGAAGATTATATTAATGTTCAACTTGTTTTTGTCTTGGTATTTTTTCACTTTTTTGTCTCTTCGAACAAAAGTATTGAGAGTCTGACTGATTACTATTATTTTGATGTCAGTTTCCTTCGACAAGCGAGCTCTCTGTCACTTCCAGTATATTGGAGAGGTTGCAGAAATGGAACAAAAACGACACGGCCGTAAGTACTTCTATTCCTTGCCGGTTAATCTGCCATTTCATAGAAATGTGATTATAGGCGCAAATAATTTTCATGAACAAGAGAAAAATACATCCGACGTTAACAAGGCTATCATACAGCCAGTGTGGTTTAAAATTATTCTTCAAGCAGTTCGGTTGGAAACACATTGCTCTGATTATAGATATAACTGATCTATTTTCTTTAACTGTCGGTAAGTTTCTCATTTCTGTCAATTTCGCACACATGGTACATTTTGAGATTCAGGCGCTGGCCACTGCGGCTATAATATATTATAATATATATCATTTAGGGAAATATCTGGAAGATGAGCTGAAGGGTGAAGGTTCAATGATCTTCGTCAAGGAATTAGATAAAAACAATGAAGTTATATACGAAAATTATCTCAAGGATGCCAGCAAGTACGCAAGAGGTAATGTGGATCTTGTTATTCTAGACCTGCGGCTCGTTGAATGAGTCTATTAGTTCTATCATTTAACCTGTGGTTCATCCGTTGATAATCTAACAGTGATATAATTTTAAAAAACTTATTCACTCCAAAAAAGTTTCCGAAACCTATTTTAGGGCATTCAGTATATTCGTCAATATTTTATATTCTATTTAAAGATACAAAAACATTTTATAGTTTATGAATGAATTTATTTTCATAGAAGTCTTTGTTTGCTTCTCATAGTTTATTAAAATAAAATATAAAAAAAAAATAATAATATTTATTAAAACAATAAAATTACAAAATTTAAAAAAATCAATACAGCAATATAAAAATCATAAATATATAAAATCTGGTTTCATTGTTCCACAAATAATGATTTGCCCAACTGTGGAAGAAGCACCCGATCGACCTCAGTATATAAATATTCGTATACAGTAGATTCTTTTAAGCAATTATCAGATAATTAATCATATTAACTTGTATATTGTGTTGAAAGCGTATGCCTTGTTGTATCATAAGAGCTTTCTTATTAAATTAAAAAATAAGAAATTGGTTGATACTTTACTAAAAGGGGAAATGTAATTATTCCTATATACATTAGGGATACATTATCAAACTCGCGTCTGTCAACTATCTTGTGAGTGCACAAGATAATACAATTTAAAAGGCAGCATAGCATATTAACTTGGTAGTAAGCAAGTGCACAAAATCTATTTCAAGTAATCGAATCCATCTATGGATTTTCCATTGAATTTCATTTTATTTTTTATTTTAAAATTTTGTTTAAATTTTATATTTTTCGAGTATTTTAATATTTCATTAATTAATGTCATGAAATAATCAAACATATTATAAATTTTTCATTTCTTAATCACTTGAGGCTAAAAATATGTAAGTAAAACTTTCACAATTATGTAGTATTATAAGAAGTCTATCTACTTTTGCTATAAACTATCTATCTATCGACTATCTTGCTATAAATCTGCTATCAGTATTACTTGTGCTACCAATGAAAGAGAAAAACTCATTTTCAGATCATCGGCAAAATACGTCTCTTCTCTATTTGAGAACGCAACTTTGTTAATTGTTGTATTAAAAGGGTACGCAACAGCTCGGCGACGGACAAGTGGGCGACGGTCAACTAGGCACCTGCCAACACGGCAACAGTAAAGTCGGCGACGGATACACAAAAAATTTCAAAAAATATTAATTATAAAATTTAAATAAAACAGTGTTTTTATAAAAAAAAAATAAGTCAATAAATAATAACAATAATTTATTAGCAAAAGAAATAATACAACATAGAAACCTAATTAAAATATATTTAAAATAATAAATAAA